TGAGCTGGCCGCCAGCCCAGCCAGACCCCCGCCGCTGCCAGCCAGCCCCCGCCAGCGACCCCCCCACCCCCCCCACACACACCTGGCCCGCCGCTCCATGCGCTCGTGGAACTCGCTGATGATCTCCAGCGGCGCCCCCACATCCTTGCCCTCCAGCTCAGGCAGCTCTACGGCAGGCAGGCAGGCAGCGGGCGGCGTGGAGCAGGGGAGGGGAGGAGGAGCAGGGGCATGGAGCAACGCACCGGCAGCCGGCTGGCAGCGCCGAGCGCCAGGTGCTGGCTGCAGCGCGGCAGCAGCGGCGGCGGCAGCCGGGCCCGGCGAACAGCAGCAGGCACGGCGGGAAGGCCAGGGGCTGCTGCTGCTGCTGCGGCGGCGCCCACCCGACACAATCTTGCCCTGCATCAGCGGCACGTGCACGGCGGCGGCGATGATGGAGCCCCAGGCGCCGCACTGCCCCTCCAGCATGTACAGCCGGTCGGCTGCGGGGGCGGGGGGGGGGGGGGGGGGGGGGGGGGGGCGGCAGGCGGCAGGCGCAGGTCGGAGGCTGGTGGCATCATCAGGGCGGCAGGAGGGTGCGGGCTTCACTCCCCACACCTGCACCCACACCCCTGGGCAGACACGCGCACAGGTACACAGGCAGGCCCCCCAGGCCCCACCCGACAGCTGCAGGAGGGTGCGGCCCTCACTCCCCACCGTCCCAGCCCACAGGCGGGCCCCTCAGCAGGCCCCCACCCGACAGCTGCGTGACCAGCGACACGTCTGTGTAGTTGCGCTGCCGGCCGCTGAGCCACATGCGCTGCACCGTCAGCACGGGCACGTTGGGCGGCTGCAGCGGCGGCGGAGGCAGGCGGCAGGGGGTGGGGGTGGGGGGTGAGGCGCAGGGTCGGATGCAGGCGGCCGGTGGGGACGGCAGCCCGGCGGGATGGCGCCTGCGCAGCCGCCCGCAGCGCTCCACACCAGGCCGCAGCCGCTGCGGCGCGTCGCGCACGGCCCGCCCGCCCGCCAGCCGGGCGCCTCCCAACCCTACCCGCATCTTGCGGCAGAAGCCCGGGTACTTGCTGAGGTCGAAGGGTCCGCGCCCCGAGCTGCCCGGCGTCAGCTGCTGCGAGATCTCGGCTGCCGACAGCGATGAGTCGATACCACCGCCAAGGCCGAAGGCGAGGGATCCATGAGGGGTGCCGCCGCCGCCGCCGCCGGGCCCCAGGCCGGCACCCCCGTCAGGCTGCCCCCCGGGCTCCTGTGGTACTTGAAAAACACAACCGCCAGCTGCGCGGAGGAAGGCAGGAAGGAGGAGCGTGCCTGGCTCCCTTGCCCCTCTTCCCCCTCCCCTCCTTCGCCTCCGCGCCGCCCTCGCCTCGCTGCCCGTGCCCACTGACGTGGCTGCGGAGCCGCTTGCGCCTGGGCCGTGGTGCCTCTCCCTCCCGCTCTGGGGCAACCCGCTGCTCCTCTCCCCCTCGCACCCTGCCGGCCTGGATTCCTCCTTTGCTGACTTTCTGGATGCAGGGGTGCACTGCCTGCGCCGCTTGCTTGAGGTGGAGCGAGCCGCGCTGGCGGCGCCGACCCAGGCGGCCTACACCGCCGACGTGCGCGGCCCCCTCCTCCGCTCCTCCTACGCCTTCGTTGAGCGGCATGTGGCGCTGGAGCGGGTGGCACAGCTGCTAGCTGCCCTGCCCCTGCCCTGGGTGGCGGCGGCGCGCGCCGCTGCCTCCGCTGCCGCCGCTGGCCTGGGGCAGTCGCTGTGTCCCCGGGCTGTTCTTGCCGGCACCCTCTTGCCGCGCCTGGGCTGGCGCCGCTCTGATGGCCGCCCTGTCCCCCTTGCGGCTCTGACCGTGCGCGCCGCAACGGCCCTCCTGGCTGCCCCTGCGGTTGAGCACCGCGCCGCCACCCGCCTTGCCCCCTTTGCCGCCGCCGCCGCGGCTGCTCCCTCCCCCGCCGCTGGCCCCCTGGCCGAGCTGCAGTCGGCCTTGGCCCGGCTGTGGCGCCTGCCTTGGGAGAATGGCAGGAAGGAGGTGTTCTGGAGGCT